GTCCGGTTTTGTTTCGCCTTTTGTTTTTATCAGGAACTAAACAGGCCACATACAAAACACGCCAAAGAAACACATTAAACGCAAATGCTGCTGTGAATTTGGAGAAAAGCTGCTGCACAGTCAAGAATTTTAATCTGCCACAGTCATAAAAACTGATATAACCGTGAAAACCAAATGATTCGGTTGATAAACTGTAAGAGGAAACAAACAGCGCAGGCTTTGATGCTCTGATAGGAGCTGCTCTGTGTTTACCTTCTGTGTCGCGTCTAATTGGCTGAGCCCGTTTACAACATGATGATATTTGGCAACCGAATCCATTTGACTGAAAACGAGAGCAGCATCTTCACAGAAGCCCCTGTGCAGCCGACACAGCTCACGTACCGTCTGAACGACAGCGGTCAAGATAATCCTGAATATTAGCTCATCACTGCATCACTGTCAGCCACGTGTCCAGACTTGTGACTTATCACAACACAGGAGCAGGAAGAACATCCTGAGATATCATTACTGTAATGTTCCGCACTGCACGGTGGCCCCAACCTAAAGTTTACACGCCCCTGCCTCAGTCTGAGATATTTACCTTTTTAAATCACTGTGATTTCATTTATTGTTAAGGTGAGAGCTGCACCACGCAAGATTAAAATATGGTGTGCGCTGCTGTGATTTGCCCTGTAAGGCCTGAAGTACATACTACCCTGTACCCTCTGTTCTGTGTGGAGTACACAACGAGGCCTGGGCTATGGAGTGATGTAATCAGATATCAACGATGATGGACAAGTAACCCGATGGTGATGTGTAAAAAGAGATAATCGCTGTTTTGGTAAAAGAACGGAGAGAGAATTAGAGCGGACTAATTTACCGTTAAACCGCTTTAAACATCCGTTGGGAAAATGGAGTTCACGTCTGAGTGTGCGGGGTCGCGCACCAGTCAGTTTCACACTTAATTCACTTTACGTGAACGGAATCATAAATAAATGCTGACGTGCTTCGGATCTTCAGCTCATCTCAAAGTGACTCGCTGCAGTAAAAAAAACAGCTAAAATGACTGAAAGTTAGTGTAGACCAGCTAAGTTAACTCTAACCTGGAGAGAAAGTTCCTCTGATCCTCGTCTGCGGGCAGCGTTCTCAGAAAAAGGTAATGAATAATACTGAATAAAATGTGCTCACAATGTTTTAATCACTTTTGTGATGATTTACTCAGTAAAATCTGCAGTGTTTCTGTACAGATTAAGTGCTGAATTATGAAAACACTGCTGTAATGACGTTTTTAATGTGGAAAGCCTGCGGGCACGGCTTTGGAAATCACTAGCAGTCTGAAGTTTCTCCAGCAGGGAGCGCTGTTAGTACGCAACTCACTGTGAATCTGCAGCAACAGAAGCTCTCGAATGCACATGTCTGCAGTTACAGGTGAAGTATTTATTAAAGATTTTCATCAAAACAGTTCATATTAAAAAAACATGTAAACTGAACTAGAATATAAAGTAGGTCAAAGCTGAAAAATCACGATTTTTAACTTGTAAATATTGTGCTAATTATTTTTGGATATGGCCCAGGTCTTTTCAATTCAGCAATGGGTTAGGGAATAGCTGAGATTTTTTTTATGATAAAATTTACTGAAATAAGACATGAAAACCAATAAAAATGAAACAGAAAACAGAATAAAAACTTAAAAATACAAATTCTTTAATTCATGTTCATCATCAAACACAGTACCCAGCCTGACCCCACTGCCCGCTCCCAGATCAGAGTGCTGTTGTGGGTAAACATCTGTCCCAATTTCTCAATATATAGTGCCCTCCACAAATAGTCCTCCCCAGGAATCAGAATGAGCTGTAAAAATTCTTAATTACTTTAATTAAAAATTCTTGATTACCGTAATTAACTACTTTTGATCTTCACCAGCTTCTGCTGGAATTTTTCATTCCACCTTAAATGGTGCAGCAGTTCTGGTGCCTGGGGAGCCAGAATGTAACTGCTACACCATTTAAGGTGGAACAGGACATTTAGCCTAGCTAGCTACCGAGACATCAGCACTACTAGTGATTTTTTAATGGGGCTGAGTTTAGGGCCGAGGGGGGAAATGGGACTGGGCCTAGATCTGTTCTAGCTAGATATCCCCCTCATTACAGTACCAAGCTAAGTCACTGTGAAGGCGTGTGTGATGAGAGTGCAGGTAGAGAGACTGAGCCAGTGAAGAACCGAAGGGCTGATGCAGAACCCGTCCTGGAGAGGAACCTGAACAGCCTGATGGTCCTCATGCACTCGCTGTGGCACATGCGCTGTAATACAGCGTTTATGATGCTCTATCAGAGCTGCGTGTGGTCGTTATGATGCTCCTCAGAGTGTGTGGGAGTGTTTGTGTGTGTGCAGCTTCATGTTTGCGCTTTGTGATTGGTTTTGATCCATCGCGGGAAAAGACACACCTGCTGTTCTTCGCTCAGCAAGCGTCCGAATCAGCGTCCAGTTACGGGCTGTTACCTAATTCGTCTCTCAGCTCTGCCATCCACATTAGTCCTGTCTCAGCTTCTCTGCCGTCTGTGGGTGTTTTAGATGGTTTAATGATGACCGACTCAGAAACGCCTTTACTTTTCCCCTTTAAATGCCTGTTTCACTGCACTTTATAACCAAGAGAATTAATTAAGTTGGCTTTAAAAAAACAACTTGCTGTTCTTCATAATCTTCTTATTATTATTCTACGTTCAAAAATAGTATTGCCTTTTGGTTTTCTCTTTTTTCTTTGTTCCCCCTGTTTGAATAAAGTGGGTTTACAAGTCTCTCTCTCTCTCTCTCTCTCTCTCTCTCTCTCTCTCTCTCTCTCTCTCTCTGTGTCTCTCTCTCTTTTGTCTCTCTCTTCTTTCTCTCCCTCTCTCTCTCTGCTCTCTCCTCTCTTTCTCTGTGTTCTCTGTCGCTGCTCTCTCTCCTCTTTTCTCTCTCTCTTTTCTCTCTTCACTCTCTGCTCTCCTCTCTTCTTTTTCTCTTTCTCTTTTATCTCTGTCTCTCTCGCTGCTCTCTTTGTCTTTTCTCTCTCTCTCTCTGCTCCCTTCTCTGTCTCTCTCTCTCTCTTCTCTCTCTCTCTGCTCCCTCCTCTCTCTCTCTTGTTTCTCTCTGCTCTCTCCCTGTCTCTCTTTTCTCTCTCTGCTCTCCTCTTTTCTCTCTCTCATTTCTCTCTCTTTCTGTCTCTCTCTTTTATCTCTCTTCTCTCTCTGCTCTCCTCTTTTCTCTCTCTCTCTTTTCTCTCTCTCTCCTTTTTTCTCTCTCTCTCTCTGCTCTCTTCTTTCTCTCCCTTTCTGTGTCTCTCTTTTCTCTCTCTGCTCTCTCTCCTCTCTCTTTTCTCTCTCTCTCTCTCTTCTCTCTCTCTCCTCTTTTCTCTCTCTGCTCTCTCTCCTCTCTTTTTTCTTTCTCTCTCTCTCATTCTCTCTCTCTCTCTCTCTCTCTCTCTCTCTCTCTCTCTCTCTCTCTCTCTCACACTCTATCTCTCTTTCTCTCTCACGCTTAGGAACGAACGAGAGGGCATCCCCGCTAACCTGCTGCAGCTGCTGGACGTGTGTGTGGAGATTCCTCAGCAAGGGGTCACTCGCTCTCTCAACGTGCATGTGAGCGCCGCCCTGCTGGTGTGGGAGTACACGAGGCAGCATCTGGGTGTCGGCCAGGACTCTTAACTACAGATCCTCACTCCTGACTCAGAGCCTCAGATCCTCGACCACCATGAGAAGAGATCGATCAGTTTACACTGTATGGCTGAACCGTTAATCGATTTTATCGGACTCGCAGTTTTCATATCGCAGGAGCTCCAGTCCGTCGGTGGACACTCAGCTGCAAAAACAGCTCGTTTTGATTTCACTGTTTTTGTGATGTCACACATGACGCATTTAAATACACTGACCCATTCAGCCTGAAGCAGTTTAGCTCCGCCCATTCAGGCTGGAGTTATACGGAGTGTTTCAGCCCGGGGCTGCCAATCAGAGCAGAGGTCATTTACATACATCAGGCTTAAAGGCTCAGTGACAAAAACAGCCTGTTAAGCTGGAAGGGATAACGAGAGGCTGGAAAACAGTCATGTAAAAATTAATTTAAGTGGTTTTTGGTTCATAAACACACAGACTTCAAAAGTAGAGGTGGGGGGTTAAAATACAGGGATATGGGCCCTTTAATTACATCTATAAATGATTTAAGGCTTGAAATTTACCCTGATCACCCAAAGCTCCTGATCTCTGTTTGGCAGTGCAGGATGTGCTGATCCTCCAGCGTCTTTGCTAATGCACAAACTTCTGCACACGGCTGTGTTTGATTTGTTTGGGGAAAAACTGCCTTTAAGCCGAATGTTTCATTGTGTAGTTCATCTGTCTCTTCAGGTTTGACCAGATGCGGCTCTTGGACTTGCGCTGGACTCTCTCTCTCTCTTTCTCTTAGTTACGGGTAACTGTCACTCGTCCCCAAAGCTCTGTGGTCAGACTGTAATCCACCTTTACCTCCTGAAGAGCTAAGGACTGTATGAGGTCCCGACCGTTACGTTGCTGTAATGCTGACCTGTTTTCCTACAGTTTTTAATTGATTTTTCATTCTAATAAACATTGTTTTTTAATTAAAGTCAGTGTTACATCACAAAGTGCGAGTCCTGTCCCGGTGGCTGAGTCAGTGTTTAGGGAAGCGGAAGTGGTCAGTAAAACACTGTGAAACCACACTGCCGGTCAGTGAGGTGACAGAAGGTTGCAGGGCTGGATTCAGTGTTTGCTCTTCCTGCTGCCTCGTTTTGACTCTGTCTCATTAAGTGTTTGATTTTCCACTTTGTCAGCTGTTGGAGCTTCTGCAGCAGCTGCTCTCCGCTCTCCGCGCCCCGCCCATCCCACAACGCAGGTGAGGAGGAGAACAGGGACGGATCTCACTGACTCACCTGCTGCTGCTCTGTTCACGAAGAACCTCGCTCTCATGCCTAAATGGCCGCCTCGCCTCTGACCCTCACTCAGGTGGTCCAGGAACGGTTTGTTTCGGTCGGTTTTGGATCTCAGACCTGACGGTTCGGCTTTAGGAGGATGGAGCTGCCGGGCAGCAGGTGGCTGGACTCCAGCGAGCCTCTGCTGGGCGAGATGCGAGTGTCGTGGAGAAACTCGACGAGCTCTCGGCTCAGCGGGGCGTCTCGCGGGAAGCTGCTGATGGAGGTGCTGATGGTGCTCATGTGTGTGGGTGCGGTGACAGGTGGGCTCTGCTCTTACAGACAGCTTTCTGTCAGGGGAAGTCCACCAGTTTAAAAACGTGCACAATTAAGTGGTTAAGGTGTAAACGGAGGCGTTCAGAGGTTCTCTGTTCTAGAGAAAATGCAATTATTTAATTCTGCAGAAATTTTGACAAACTGGTGGAATTCCCCTTTAAGCCAGAGGTCCAGTCTTGTCCGTAAAGGTTTTTCTTGCAAACCAGCAGGAGCGTCCATTTGTTTAATCAATTAATTCAATTAGTAGATTGGACATTTCTGCCTTAAAGGGGAGCTCCACCAATTTTTCAAAATTTCTGCATAATTAAATCATTGCAGTGAGTCGTTCAGAGTGGTTCTCTGTTCTAGAGAAACTTACTGAGTTAGAACTGTTCACAGTGGTGGTGATAGGAACCAGACGTCCACCTCTAAAAGCTCCCTCACAGAAAGTTACTGAGATGGTTATGAATTCACTGCCTGATGACTGAGACACTGTTTTATGATAGTTTTGAGTTCTAAAATGTATTTTAGGATCCCCAAAGAAAAACTTTCCATCATCAACATTCCATATAAACTCAGAAGACTCGTGTAGGTTCACTGGTGGTTCTGGATAGTAAATAAAATGTCTATATTTGTGTTGTAGTCATGGCGACCCCTGGTTCCTATCACCACCACTGTAAAGACATCTGAACCATTTCACACCAAACCGCTCTGAATCTCTCTGTTTACATCTCACACACTGAACTATGGAGAGAATTAAGATCCTCAGCAGTGCACTATATAGGGAGTAGTGAGCTATTTGGGACAGAGCCATAGAGAAATCCAGTTTACACGTTTATATCTCACACACTGAGTTATGTAGAAAATTTGAAAATTGGTGGAATTGCCCTTTAAGTACTTCAGTATATTTCAGCGTTTTCAGTGTATCGGTCATCTTTCTTTCAGGCGTTTTATGGCCGAGTGTCTGTGTTTGTCCGATCCAGATGTTTGACGATGTTCGTTTTCTATCGTGATGCGGTTTAGATGTGAGTGAGATTTTTAACTGGAGTCTTTCCAGAAGCAGCGTCTCCGGTTTGAACGTGTGCATCTGGATTAATGTGCCAGCATCTGTTTTGCAGTAAAATGGGGGGTTTAGGTGAAAGTTTATAGTTTATTATTGATTAAAGTCCTAATTAATGTTATAATGTAGCTGAAATGATGGTCTTTCCAATACAGTAAAGCACCATTTACATAATAATTAACAAAATAAATAATTAAAAAAAGATACTGGGGGCTGTATATGCTTTTTGAGTTTTTTTTTTTTTTAATATATTTTAAATTTTGATTTTATTGTAATTTTAATTACTGTTTAAAGTCCAAATCTGAAAGTGTTTTGGAATCTCTTCAGAGCAATCCATACTTTGTTACTGTCCAGTTAAGTCCACTGTTGTTGCTTGGCTTTATTAAAATCTGTTTACTCTGTCGTCAACATGATGGATAGATTAAAATATTAATAATATGATTATAGAGCTTCTGGAATAATAAGCCTTTTAAACAAAAAAGTACAGAAACAAAATAATAGAAATTACCATTAATATCATTAACAGATGGATTGTGGAAAGTTATTCTGGAGCGATATCCAAGTATTTAAACAGTACAGTATGATATTTTCATCTTAAATTATTGTCAATATTACAGATAATACAAAGAACTACAGATCTATCGCCAAGTTTAAGAAGCAAACACGAGTTAAGGGCTTCCTAATATTAAAGTCAGAGACGATAGCTCATCTGCTGCTGCACAGTTTGTGTTGGTCATCCTCCAGTCCTTCATCAGTGGTCACAGGACGCTGTTGGCTGGATGTTTTTGGTTGGTGGACTATTCTCAGTCCAGCAGTGACACTGAGCACTGCTGTGTCTGATCCACTCAGACCAGCACAACACACACTAACACACCACCACCACGTCAGTGTTACTGCAGTGCTGAGAATGACCCACCACCCAAATAGTACCTGCTCTGTGAGGGTCCATGGGGGTCCTGACCACTGAAGAACAGGCTAACAAAGTATGCAGAGAAACAGATGGACTACAGTCTGTAATTGTAGAACTACAAAGTGCTCCTATACGGTCAGTGGAGCTGATAGAGTGGACAGTGAGTGTAGATATAGTTTAATACTGGTCTAAATGGCTCTCTAATCATGCAATCAAATATTATAATGCAGATTTATTGTGTGATTAATAATTGAATTATATCAGTCACATTTGAAACATACAAAATGTTGGTGCTTTTGTCGCTTTTGTGTCCGTCGTTTTATCCCTAGACCGCAGTGCTGACTGGTCAGTCTAATCTCTGTTTGTTCTGTGATTGTTATGTATGTCAGGAAACATCCTGGTCATCGTCATCGTGGTGGCAACAAAGACGTTCCATCATGTGACGTCAGTGCTGATTATTAATCTGGCCATCAGCGACTTCCTGGTCGGCATCGGCGTCATGCCCTTCGTGGCAGTTTCCATCATGAATAACGGATGGGTGAACTGCAATGTGAGTGTCACCATCTGACCACTAACACGGAATCTCACAGTGCCCTGTAACGGGGCTACTTCACATCAGGCCATGCTGAGTGACCGTTTACATCCCAACCATCTCACTGCACTGCAGAAATGATCTCTTAGCTCCGAAATCTTCCCTATTTATCTAAAAATTCTCATTATGAGGCTCTTTTTAGAATATCAGAAGATAATTTCACCTGTTTCTGTACATTTTTACTCGTTTGAAGTCATTTAGTGAGAGTTTTTCCACTGGCAGATCATTTTAAATATGATTTCTTTAAATAAAAAATTACCTGCACCGTTTTTGGAAACAAGTAAAATGATCTGCCAGTGAACGACTTTCACTGAATGACTTCAAACGAGTGAAAATGAACAGAAACAAGTTAAATAATCTTATATTCTTACCAGAGTCTCGTAATGAGAAATATTAGATATATAGACACGATTTCAGAGGTTTTCAGTAGATAAAAAGACCATTTTTTGCAGTGCAGTGAGACGCTTGGGATGTAAACAGAGTCTCTCAGAGTGGCCTGATGTGAAATGTTTAATAAAACAAGTTTTTTGAAACAAGTAAAATGATGTGGCAGTGGAAGGCGACACTTTCATCAGATAAAATGACTTAAATAAGTACATGAACAGGTTAAACAGTCCCATAATATTCTTACATCAGTCTCCTAAAGAGAAAAATCAGATTTAGGTCTTGTTTTCCCGTGTTTAAATATCCTCCTTCGTTTGTGCTGCAGGATCTGTGTCTGTACGTGGGCTACACCTCCTCGGTCTACTGCACTGCCTCAGTGCTCACGCTAGCGGCTATCGCTCTGGACCGCTACTACTCCATCGTGGACTGTCTGCGCTACGACTCTCGCTGTACGGTGTGGCGAACCGGAGCGGCCGTGCTCTGGATCTGGCTGCAGGCCATGCTGACCAGCTCTCCTCCGTTGCTGGGCTGGAGTAACGTCAGCTTCGTGAAGCCCATGTACAGCTGTTCCGTCAACTGGGCCAGCAGTCCGAGCTACACGGTCTTCATGGCCGCCCTGTCCTTCCTCCTCCCGGCCACAGTCATCCTCTTCTGCTACGTGAAGATCGTCCGGGTGGCGAGGCACCACGCTAGACGGATCCACAGCCTGGAGGAGCACCTTCAGCGCAGCCGGGGGCGCCCCCCGCCCACGCCTTCCGAATCCGCCCGCCGGTGTTCGCGTACGGACCTGGAACCGCACGACCCCTCCAGGCTGGTGTACTACGTGAGTGGGAGGTTCGTTTCAGAAGCCCAGTTTGATGGTCCTCACCAGGACCTGGCAGGAGATTCAGCTCCGCAGCTCGAAGGTGAGAGCAGCTCCAAACCTTCCAGCCGGCGCCTGCACACGTTCCTCGCTCACCTCCAGAGCAGCAGCGCCCAGCAGGCCAGCAACCCTCATCACGGCGTCGTGAGGCTCTTCATGGTCATCGCCGCCTTCTTCCTGTGCTGGACGCCTTACATCAGCGTTGCTCTGGTGCAGGCCACCGAGACCGCCCTCTCGCGCTCGGAGAGCCAGGTCCCACCTGCTGCGGTCACCTTCTCCTACTGGCTCGTGCTCTTCAACTCAGACATCAACCCGCTGCTCTACGCTCTCCTCAGCAAGCGTTTCCAGGGGGCGCTGCAGAACCTCAGGCTCAAGATCCAAGCCAGGCTAGGTGGAGCAGTCGGGAGGGGAGGAGAAAGGAGAGCAGACGGAGAAGGTGGAGGATGCACGACGCCCACTAACGTAACGGCTGCTAACGGGGAGCAGCATTCCAGAGACGGCGGTCCCCAACCGATGGGATCAGACTACTCCTCTGTTTTCACAGTGAATGCTCCTTTCCCCAGGAGGCTCAAGGAACGAGTGAACAGAGGCCTCCTACCTGGGAGTCTGTCCTCCTCATCAAACTCCTCCTTCTCCACCACCTCCTCTTCCTGTTCCGTTTGGAATAACTGCAGTGGAAGTTCCTCAGAAAGGTCAGACTGCTTACAGGTTCCCTCCAAGCCACAGGAGCGGGACAGACTCCCGACCCCAGCGCTGACCAAGGAGAGGCAGACCACCTTCTTTTACGGCCAGATCACAGTTCGAGTGGAGCATGAAATTTGTTGACCCTGAACTGCCCCATGATGGACCTGAAACGTCATATTACTTTGAATAAGGCTTAAAAGGGGAAATCCACTGATTTTTAAAATTTCTGCATATGTCAGACTCTCAGATTTCTTTACAGTGGTGGTGATAGGAACCAGGGGTCGCCATGGCTACAACACAAATATAGACATTTTATTTACTGTCCAGAACCACCAGTGAACCTACACGAGTCTTCTGAGTTTATATGGAATGTTGATGATGGAAAATAGTGGAAAATCTGAAATAAGAAGTTTTCTTTGGGGACTATTTTGCCTCACAGCACCCTGCATGTATCCCTCCACCTTGAATGGAGTTTAAGTTCTCTAAACTATCATAAAACAGTGTCTCAGTCATCAGGCAGTGAATTCATAACCATTTCATGTAGGAACTTTCTGTGAGGGAGCTTTTAGAGGTGGACGTCTGGTTCCTATCACCACCACTGTGAACAGTTCTAACTCAGTAAGTTTCTCTAGAACAGAGAACCACTATGTTTACATCTTAACCAGTTAATTATGCAGAAATGTTGAAAAATTGGTGGAGTTTTCCTTTAAGGCAGAAATGTCCAGTCTAGTAATTAAACTAATTGATTAAACAAGTGGACACTCCTGCTGGTTTGCAATAAAAAAGCTTTACCGACAAGATTGGACTCATGGCTTAAAGGGGAACTCCACCAATTTTTCTAAATTTCTGCCTATTTAAATTCAGACGTCTGAAGGATTCAGTGCCTCTAAAAGCAGAAAGTTACTACATGAAATGGTTATGAATTCACTGCCTGATGACTGAGACACTGTTTTATGATAGTTTAGAGAACTTAAACTCCATTCAAGGTGGAGGGATACATGCAGGGTGCTGTGAGGCAAAATAGTCCCCAAAGAAAACTTCTTATTTCAGATTTTCCACTATTTTCCATCATCAACATTCCATATAAACTCAGAAGACTCGTGTAGGTTCACTGGTGGTTCTGGATAGCAAATAAAATGTCTATATTTGTGTTGTAGTCATGGCGACCCCTGGTTCCTATCACCACCACTGTAAAGACATCTGAACCATTTCACACCAAACCACTCTGAACCACTCTAAATACATATGACTGATGCAGATTTTTTTTTTTAAATGGTGGAGCTCCCCTTTAAGGGACTCTAAAAGAGAGTAGCACCATTTTGAATGTGCTGTTTGTACAGTTGAGCTTAAAATAATGTAACTGTAGATTATGATGGTCTACACACACACACACACACACACACACACAAATGTTTAAATCTGTACTATGTGATCTGTTGTTGATCATCATTAGTCACAGAACTGATTTTACTCAGAATAAAACGGGACACTTTTCACCGACTTACAGACGACATCAGCTTTGAGGATTTCCTCTGAAAAGCCCTTTCAGCTCAGGATGTTAGCAGACGTTCATATCTGTGATTAAAAATGTCTGAATTCTTTTCATACTTCGCTATCTTTATAAAAACATGCGTATATTGCACTATATATATATATATATATATATATATATATAAGTACACTCTGGATTTTGTACCCTGTGGTGCTGATGATAAAACATGAAAAGAAATAAACATGAAAGGCTGGTCTGAAGCTGATCATGGACTCTGATTCAGCCTGAATGCATGGAGTGACATCATCAGTGGGATTATGTGGGATGATTGAAGGATGATGTGAAGTGAAGATTTAAGGGGTTAAAACTCTGTAGATCTCCGAAGTCTGAATGTGTGAGCTGGATTTCTCTGTGGCTCCGTCCCAAATAGCTCCCTACTCCCTATATAGTGCACTGCTTAGGGCAAGAAAATGGCTTCTGCACTAAAACTGTGCACTGAATGTAGGATAGAGAGTCGTGCACCTGAGGGGGAGTTTAAAAACCTCTCCATAATTCAGTCACTGAGATTTAAACAGACATTCAGTGTTTTGATGTGATCATTATAGAGAAACTTACTGAGTCAGATGTCTTTACAGTGGTGGTGATAGAAACCAGGGGTCACCATGACTACAACACAAATATAGACATTTTATTTACTGTCCAAAACCACCAGTGAACCTACACGAGTCTTCTGAGTTCATATGGAATGTTGATGATGGAAAATAGTGGAGAATCTGAAATAAGAAGTTTTCTTTGGGGACTATTTTGCCTCACAGCGCCCTGCATGTTATGTATCCCTCCACCATGAATGGAGTTTAAGTTCTAAAAACTATCATAAAACAGTCATCAGGCAGTGAATTCATAACCATTTCATGTAGTAACTTTCTGTGAGGGAACTTTTAGAGATGGACGTCTGGTTCCGATCAACACCACTGTGAACAGTTCTGACTAAGTTTATCCAGAACAGAGAACCACTCTGAACCACTCTATTTACATCTTATCTGGTTAATTATGCAGAAATTTTGCAAAATCAGTGGAGTTTCCCTTTAACAGCTGAATGGCTTTCTATTAGACATATTAGACATATAGAAGCTGTTATGACTTGTTCTATGTAGTGCACTACACAGGGAGCATGGAGGCGTTTGAGATTTAGCCTGTGACCAAAATGAATGTAGTAAACAAAAAGGTTCCAGACCTGATGCACTTTGTTCTGTGTGTGTTTTTACACTCAGTGTCACTGGATCGTCTGGATTATGAGCTTTTTTAAGCGCTCGAAATACGAATAAGGCTGCACACGTTCTCCAAGCAACATGACGTCACATGACAGTAAGTCAACTGCCCCACAAATGAGGCCTAAAACTGCTGAAGCCTCTGAATGACCACATTTAATGAAGCGTCCAGGTTTGTTTGGGGTGTTTTGGTGAGGCTTCCCGTCTTACGCTGTCTCACGTCTGCGTTGATGAAACAAAGCTGTTCTGCACCTCACAGCGCTGCGCAACCAACAGCAGCACAAATCCACACAAAGTGAAAATGCATGGCTGTGTCCGAGTCTGGAGGCAGCTGTCTTGATGCCTCGCTGCCCGTGCTGCCTCACGAGTCAGGGCAACGGAAAGCACCGCTGTGACGAAGACGCCTCCGACCGAATCATGTTTGAAAGGAAGCAGCGCGTCACGATGTTGACAAGATGCCAATGGCTCGATGTTAGCATTATCCGTTAGCATGTTTTAACCAAACTACAAAGTATTTTGAGAGGGCTAGCATGATGAACTTTTTCTAACCTAAACGTATTTTACATAAATTAAACATTTTCCTCACAGTAAGAAGCTCTAATGCTCAAAAAGCACCAGCGTTTCACTGGGTTTAGTGGCCAGGCCGCATTAGCATTAGCATTAGCTTAAATTAGCCTACAGGACGCTGGCAGCAGAATGTAAAACAGACGTGATGAAGAGCTCAACAGAATAAAACACAGCGCTGCAGCACCTCAGTGGCTCTTTACCTACGATTAGTGTGATTTAGCACTCTTTTCCAAAGAGCATCAGCGCTGACAGAGGATTATGGGAAATGTAGGCAGCATTCTCACACTACTGGGTGCCTTTCAGTCTCAGAGCGCTGTCTGAGTAGAGACATAATAAACTGAAACATAATAAACACTGGTTAACATTACTGGTACTGAGAGCTGATTGGTTAACGTTACTGATACTGAGAGCTGATTGGTTAACATTACTGATACTGAGAGCTGATTGGTTAACATTACTGATACTGAGAGCTGATTGGTTAACATTACTGATACTGAGAGCTGATTGGTTAGCATTACTGATACTGAGAGCTGATTGGTTAACATTACTGATACTGAGAGCTGATTGGTTAACATTACTAATACTGAGTGCTGATTGGTTAGCATTACTGATACTGAGAGCTGATTGGTTAGCATTACTGATACTGGGAGCTGATTGGTTAAAACTACTGATACTAAGTGCTGACTGGTTAACATTACTGATACTGAGCGCTGATTGGTTAACATTACTGATACTGAGCACTGATTGGTTAACATTACTGATACTGAGAGCTGATTGGTTAGCATTACTGATACTGAGAGCTGATTGGTTAACATTACTGATACTGAGAGCTGATTGGTTAACATTACTGATACTGAGTGCTGATTGGTTAACATTACTGATACTGAGAGCTGATTGGTTAACATTACTGATACTGAGAGCTGATTGGTTAGCATTACTGATACTGAGAGCTGATTGGTTAGCATTACTGATACTGAGAGCTGATTGGTTAACATTACTGATACTGAGAGCTGATTGGTTAGCATTACTGATACTGAGTGCTGATTGGTTAACATTACTGATACTGAGTGCTGATTGGTTAGCATTACTGATACTGAGTGCTGATTGGTTAGCATTACTGATACTGAGTGCTGATTGGTTAGCATTACTGTACTGAGCGCTGATTGGTTAGCATTACTGATACTGAGAGCTGATTGGTTAGCATTACTGATACTGAGTGCTGATTGGTTAGCATTACTGATACTGAGTGCTGATTGGTTAGCATTACTGATACTGAGTGCTGATTGGTTAGCATTACTGCTACTGAGCGCTGATTGGTATAACTTTGGAAAATTTGTCTGTGCAACTAGAGAATGGATTCATTTTACCGATCGAGCTGTGATGTGTCGAGGCACGCCGCACAAACAACTGAGAAAGTTTTTTGTAGAGCTGATTGAGATTAAAAACATCACACCAAACAGAAAATCATCATCACCACAAATTTCAAACTACAGTGTCAAAATGAAGCTGCATCTTGGTTGGTCAAACTTAGCTTGGTGCTCCAGGCTTCTCATTTACGGTAACTCTGGAAATCACTGCCTGTTACCATCAGTTTGAGAACTAGTCCTGTTATAGCTCCTGTTTATAATTACATGGCTGGGCAATAGAACATCTCGTAGAAACTTTTCTCTTCCTGTCACCACAAATACTGCATTTTGGCCTTACAAGAACTGCTAGAGGGCGCTCCGCAACATTAACGAACGTTTCGAGTTGAAAATCTAAAAAAGGAAAGCTGTCAAAAACCATTTTGAAGGCCACCTGCAGATGGCGCAGCTCTGCACTGTCCCTCCTCATTGCCAGCAGATGGTGCAGTTCTACACCGTCCCTCCTCATCGCTAGCAGACGGCGCAGTTCTGCGCGGGGCCTCCTCATCGCCAGCAGACGGCGCAGTTCTGCACTGTCCCTCCTCATCGCCAGCAGACGGCGCAGTTCTGCACTGTCCCTCCTCATCGCCAGCAGACGGCGCAGTTCTGCACTGTCCCTCCTCATCACCAGCAGCAGGTGAAGTTCATTACTAATTAAAGGCCTTTAGATTTAAGAGACGCCGCTAAGTGTAAACCGTAAGATCTCCTTCAGCTGAAGAGAACTCAGCTTAGCTTACACAGCCCTCAGGTGGAGCTCTGACTGTGGATCAGTTCTAGTTTGGAAGACTGAACTCCTCTTTATCTGGAACGCCAACACGAGAACCACAGCACTAAAACAAGATATTTGTGGTTAACTAAACTCCCCAGAGAGCGAAAAGTGGACGAGTGAATGCTCCCGCTGCAGATCAGGAGTTCATCTCTGATTTCTCTGTTTTCTCTTTCTGAGCAAAGTGCACTGTGGGGATCTCGCGGTCTCTCTCCAACAGTCTTAAACTATCGCTCAGGTGAGGATAAAGTCACTGTGGTCACTGTTACACAGCACAAAGAGCACCAGGACGGAAACTAGAACGGCACCGTTGATATTTTACAATTAGCACCTTTGTGAAGTGTTTACGAAGTGCCGAAAGCTGTCTAGGAAGCTAACGCTAATCATTAGCATGTGTGCTAGCAGCTAGAGAGTGTTTTTGTTGCTATTCTCCTCATTAACGTCAAAGACGTCGACAGTTAAGCCCTCCTGAGGTTTGCAAACCGAGCTCTAAGCGGATCTGGTCCTGCTGAAGACTCGCTGTTTCTGGTTTGTTCTCGTACCTTTACATTTTCCCACCGTTTTCCAAAATGACAGCACTGTTTCATGTCATACTAAGGTCAGTTTAGCCTACATGCCTTTGGAGCCATTCTTCTTTCATCCATTTGGAGTCACCGTGCTTCTAACATGACACCTCATCGGCTGATCTGTTAACGTTTCATTGGCCGACCGGTCCGTTATTGATGTGACGTCGACGACTATGTTCAGACCCTTTGGGATCTGGGTCCGAACAGTTCTCCGCGCAGCTGGATCCCGAACTTCCCGACGGGCCAACGCCAGGCGGTACGGATGGGCGACGTCACCTCCTCCTCGCTGACCCTTAACACCGGAGCTCCTCAGGGCTGGGTGCTCAGCCCTCTCTTGCACTCCCTGTACACCCACGACTGCTCAGCCAGACACAGCTCCAATGCCATCATCACATTTGCAGATGACACCACGATTGTGGGCCAACGAGGAGGCCTACAGAAAGGAGGTCAGCTTCCTGACACACTGGTGCCGGAAGCAAGAGAAAGCGCACACCCCCGTCACAGTCAACGGAGCCTCTCTAGAGAGGGTCAGCAGCTTCGAGTTCCTCGGGCTTACATCTCAGAGGAGCTGACGTGGACCGAACGTACCACACGGGTGGTGTGCATCCCCGCATCTTCGGAACATTCTACACATGTACTGTGGAGGGCATTCTAACAGGCTCCATCACCTCCTGGTACGGGAACTGCACCGCCATCAAACGGAAAGCTCTGCGGAGGGTGGTGCGGACAGCCCGGCGCATCACCGGGGTCCAGCTCCCAAATCTCCTGGATTTATGCACCAGCCGCTGCCCGAGGAAGACCAGGAGGATTCCGAAGGACTCCACCCACCCGAGCCACTGTCTGTTCTCACAGCTGCCGAGCAGGAGGAGGCGCAGAAGCGTAAAGTCCAGAACCGCCCGGTCCCTTCCCCCGGGCCGTCCGGCTGCCGAACGGCCAGTGGCGCCGGCGTATCGGCCTATAGGCCTGTCGCCGCACCTCCGAGTCATCGTCGCGATGATCTCCATGGACAATCCACACCTCATCCACACGCAGCTTTTCTATACCGTATTCTGTACTCGTGTTTACCTAGACTCATTTTTCTGAAATAAAACTTGTGGTTTGACTGGTTTCCAATAGAGATCACGTCTAGATCCCATTAGAAAACCATGGGATGCATTTGAAAATCAGCCACCTGTTTAAGCATTAGGAACACCTCGGTTCAGCACAGACTACCAGCACACATTTCTCAAATTATGTTCTGGCCTTCATGGGCTTTGAGTTGTTAGAGGATGCAAGTTTTGTGTGTCTTGGAATCTTCAAGACAAACCCCCAAAAAAAAGGCTGCTGTGTGTGAAAGTTGGTGGCTTAGTGGGACCAGCCTTGGCCTCAGATGTGGGAGGTTGTGGGTTCAAGCCAAGGAGGAGGGAAGGGAAAACAAAAAAAAAAAAGGGGGCAGCATTTTAGTCAGCTTGGTAAGTAAATTAAGGGTCCAAGTAGGTAGAATTTTTGCATACCCAAAGGGTTAAGTGCAACTTTTTTTTCCCAGCAAAATTCTGCATAACCCCCTCTTGTCCTCTCTCCTGGGCCCCAGGGGGGAAGACGGGTATACCTTCCCCCCTGGTTCTTGGGTTGCGCCCTCCGGCCTTCCTCGCATGTCATGCATTGTACACCCTTCACCCTGTGTGTGTGTTTGTGTTTCACCACCACCGTGATGTGAGGATCCTGCTCGGGATATGAACCGATAACCTCCAGACTGTAGAGGCAGGGCATCTACCAGTGAGCCACAGGACCTCACAAATGTCTTTCTTTTTTTTAACATTTGTCTTTGTTTTTGCCATCTTTACTGATGAAGACATGCAAATGAAAGCCCTAAAGTGGGGCTTGAACCAACAACGCTCTGGTTGTAGAAACATGATTTATACCAGCAAGCCACAGGGCCTGCAGGGAGACTCCTTTTTTTTTAACATTTGTCTTTGTTTTTGCCATCTTTACTGACAAAGACATGCAAATGAAAGCCCTAAAGTGGGGCTTGAACCAACAACGCTCTGGTTGTAGAAACATGATTTATACCAGCAAGCCACAGGGCCTACAGGGAGCCTCCTTTTTTTTTAACATTTGTCTTTGTTTTTGCCATCTTTACTGACAAAGACATGCAAATGAAAGCCCTAAAGTGGGGCTTGAACCAACAACGCTCTGGTTGTAGAAACATCATTTATACTAGCAAGCCACAGGGCCTGAAGGGGGCCTCCTTTTTTTTAACATTTGTCTTTGTTTTTGCCATCTTCACAGATGAAGACATGCAAATGAAAGCCCTAAAGTGGGGCTTGAATCAACAACCCTCTGGTTGTAGAAATGTGATTTATACCAGCAAACCACAAGGCCTACAGAACAGTGCCTTTTTTTTTGGACATTTGTCTTTGAGATTCCCAGGTTGTGCAGTTACCCACATTTGGGCACATCTTGTGCCAGGATGATTTATGGAAGCGATGGTTCCAAAAGGCAGTTCCAGCTCTGGAGCTCTTACGGTAAAAAATGAAGACTGAATGCTTTTAGCCGTACAATAAACACTTGTAACAACACTATACTTTTTATGTTCCTGTTTTAGGAAGAGCGCTCTCAGGGAAATAGCAAATGCTAAGTAGCAGTAATGCTAACCAGTCGTCGCTCAGTATCCGGTAATGTCAGCGTCTGTTTGCTGTAGAAAAGGAAACGTACAGGTGAGGTTTTCTTTGCTTTTTTAGTGAAGTTCTGTGTAAACGATTCGAAACAGTTTTAACTTTTCAATTTTAGCCGTTTAGCTCCGTTCACCCCCGTTCACTGAGGACCCGCTCTTGGGCACCCTCTGCTGTTTAGCAGTGATATTTTTTGAGATAAAGGTGGAAACTGGAAGAGACCAGACTCCTTATAAACCGGCTCTCTCAAACTTTGATTTGGCCATCCAGAAAGTTATGCCACTCCCTCATCCAGTGAGATAAGAAAAAAATGAACTATATTTGTATTGTACATGTAATTTACTATATTTACTCCAAATAGTACTGCTAAAGTATTTCAGTAACATAATATAGTGTAATGTTAGACAATCATGTTAAAATCTCAGTTTGAAACTATTTGTTTATTTTGTACTTTTGGGCTTTTTTGTTGTTGTTACCGCAAATACTGCATTTTGGCCCGACACGAAAATGACCGCTAGAGGGCGCTAATGAGCGTTTTAAGTTGAAAGTATAAAAAATGAAAGCAGTCAAAAACTGTTTTGCTCCTCATCGCCAGCAGATGGCACAGTTCTGCACTGTCCCTCCTCATCACCAGCAGATGGTGCAGTTCTGCACTGTCCCTCCTCATCGCCAGCAGACGGCGCAGTTCCGCATTGTCCTTCCTCATCACCAGCAGATGGCGCAGTTACACACTCTCCCTAGAAACAGATCAGTAATCAGTGGAGTGGATATTCCTGTAATGAGCCACACCCACTGCAGCTAATTAGCTTCTTCAGAAGTGCCTGATTGGCTGAATCAGATGCATCTGTGTTAGCTCTTACCATACTATTGAAGGTTAGTCAAAAAATGCTTATGGCCTTAAAATAAGCCAGTGTGCTGGTTTATATGGTGTATTTAAAAAAACCCTGTCAAGACTTTCATCTGTGGTTTTTGGGTAAGAGTGTTATGTTACGGTGTAAAATATAAGGAACTGCTAGATTACAGATACTGTGGTACCTCAGAAGTGTTTACCATCAATGTGAAGCCTGGTACTAAAATGCTTAAAAACTGTTAAACAGCAAATGCACATCTGTGTAAAATGGTCTAGAGTTTAATCTCCATGACTGTTACAGAGTCCAAAAAAAAACTAGTCCAAAAACACCTTTGCGTCTCTGACATTAAAATAAACAGAAAATGATAAGCATAAATTAAATTGAAAATTTCAAACTCCAACCTCCTTTCTTGGTTGGTCAATCTTGGTTTGGTGGCCTCGGATTCTCATTCATGGTGACTCAAAAATTTGCAAAATTACAATATTACCATGCTAAGAAATGACTAGAGGTTACCATCAATTTGAGAACTAGTCCTGAAATAGCTACTGTTCATAAGAAAACATAATGCGACAGAGACTAAAAAATATCCATAACTACACAATGGTTGGTAAAATAACACTGAAATGACCAAAAACAGAAACGCACAAATCATTGCAGAAAGGAATTACTGCATAAAAATTTCTAAGCACAAGATCAAACGGAGAACCAACTGCTTCATTGGTCAATCTTAACTTGGAGCTCCAGCCTTCTTCTTTATGGTAACTTGTGAAATTAGCATATTACCATGTGTGGAAATCAATAAAAGTTACCATCAATTAACCAACTAGTCTTGAAGTAGTTATTGTTCATAGTGCCTTTTATTTGTATAAATTTGGGCCGCTCAGGTTGCGTCATTTCCATTGCGCTGTGCTTGAGATGGTTGGCTGAACCGATACTGGTTTGCCTCAAATCCTGCCTACTATGGGTGAGGCTGAGGGACCGCCTCTTAAACACTGAAGGGCGGGGCATCGGCCCAAATTTACTCTACCGCCACCGCAGCCCTTTTGGGAACGCCTGGGTGGTGGACACCACCTGTCAGCTACAGCGCTGATCTAAACACAACAAACATTTTTGAAAAAACTGATCTCTGTTGCGATGCTGGTACTTACTCTATGTGTCTAGGCTTCTCGTTCGTGGTAGAAATACCTGTTTATTAGTGTTTTTTCTCGTCTTCACCGTCGTCGAGAACAGCGTTCACATCACAAGCCTTATAAAGACTCGTTTGATTTTTTTTATTTAATTGGCTTCTCTGATTGGTTGCTTGCTCATCAATATGCAAATGTATGCAAAACTGGTGTGTAAGATCAATAAGTCCATGAGATTCTTGGCGTCTTGCATTCTGGGAAGGTTATTTGTGCTGCAGAAAATCCAGCTGAATGAACTCAGACCAACAACCAGGAACTTTTCAGCATGGAATGAAGATCCAGAGGCCAAAATCCAGACCCAGTTTCCTGAAAGCATCACAGTGTTAACATGATCAGAGCTGTCAGAGCAAGTGAAAACAGTTAAACGTACCTCCAACATTTCATCAGTTACTACACAATCTATTCACCTCATTCACTCAGCAGGTTGACAACATAAAAACAATTGTGATGTTAAAAGTTTACTACTAGCAATACTGTCATTTACTTAAAGATTATATATTCATAAATTGTCATTCATATAAAAACCATAAAAACCTTAATCAGGTAAACATCAGGACACAACAAGCAGAGCAGAGAGCAGCCAAAAACTGATACCACCTAAAAACTACATTAGTACCATAAAGAAAAACAGAGCTGCTACAAAAGCAGAGATCTATAATTTTTCTCTACTGGTCAAATTTCCTGAGATACTGAGGATAAGAATTGTGAATAAAAATAAATGAATAAATGGGAATGTAAATTAGAAATATCTAAAAAGTATCAGAAACGTTCTATGGGAATAAAAAGATCAAGCAAACAACCAAATCATAAACGGTCAGAAAAAGACAGCTGTACAACTTTTAGGAGTGTTTTCTCAAAACAGACACAAAGTCTTGTAAATTATGTCACTGTCACATTTCCAATGAAGCAGCACCAGCACAGTTACATTAATCAGCAAAATCTTCTGCTAATAATTCCTGACAGTAGACAGTTCTGGGCTGATAGTGGCTTTCACACATGAGTGTTGGTCAACTCCGGGGCAGATGTTAGGCATTCAGGCCAGAATAGGGCCAGATGCTGTAATGTTGAGTACAGCTTTGCCTTGGGTCTATATGTGTGGGCCAATTCTGGCATAAACGTTATGCACCAACAGTGTAGAGATTCTAAAGATTACAGTTGTTTCCATATCATTTTGTAAAGATTATAAGATTTTTGATTCAGATATCTGACATATATTTTAATGAGTAAGTTAATGAAAAAATAATAAATGTTATTGAATGTCCTGGTGACCTGAAATCGTCTCTGGAAATTTTAACCTGTTTTGAAGGCCACCAGCAGATGGCGCAGTTCTACACTGTCCCTCATCACCAGCAGCAGGTGGAGTTCATTACTAATTAAAGGCTTTTAGATTTAAGAGACTCCGCTGAGTTTAAACCGTAAGATAACTCAGCTTCGCTTACACAGCCTTCAGGTGGAGATCTGACTGTGGATCAGTTCTAGTTTGGAGGACTCAACTCCTCTCCTCTTAATCTAGAACACCAACATGAGAACCACGGCACTAAAATGATATTTGTGGTTAACTAAGCTGATGCTAACATTAGTAGCATGTGTGCTAGCAGTTAGAGAGTGTTCTTGTTAAGATTCTCATTAACGTCAAAAACATTGGCAGTTAAGCCCTCCTGAGGTTTGTAAACAGAGCTCTGAGCTGATCTGGTCTTGCTGAAGACACTGTTTCTGTTTTGTTCTTGTACCTTTACATTTTCACACTGTTTACTAAAATAACAGCATCATTTTAGTTCATAAAAATGTCTGATCAGCCTACCTGACCTTGGAGCTGTTCTTCTTCCTCCATTTTGAGTCACTCTCCTTCTAACAGGACACCTCATTGGCTGATCTGTTAACATTTCATTGGCTGATTGGTCCGTTATTAACACAGACCTCCTCATTACCACCAGATGGCGCTAAACACAAAAATGATGAGACCTTTTAATGAGTCACTTTCATCTACAGTTACAAAATAAAGCAAAGGTTCAATTAACAAGTCAACTACGGCTTGTGTTTCTGGGAACGCACCCCTCCCTTTCTGGTGCATAACGCGGCCGCTTCTTGACCACATCAGGAAAGACCATCAGCGTCAGTAATTTATGTTGCTGACACCTAAAAACAGACAATATTAATAAACCATTAATAACAATTTCAGATTATGTTCAACCACATCATCTTAGCCTGAAAGCAGTTCATTCAAATAGTAACCGTTTCAATAAACTGGGCCGGATTCATAAACCACACTGCGGAATTTATTATAATGTCGATGATGTGAATTACAAGTAGATTTTATTGCAAATTAACACCAACATGCGAATATAACCTCATTTAGTCAGAAAGTACATCTCCTGGTAAAAAGCCACTGTGCACTGATGGAGTTTCCTCATAGGCTACTGAAATGTAATTATTCATAACTGTGTTCACAGTTGATTACGTAATATATTTAAAACACACTGACTCATTTTGATCTGTTTAGATCAGGGTGTGAAACTCAACCACTAAAAGGGCCACATTAAAAAGCCTCAGTAAATTGGTGGGCCAGCTGTGTTTTTACTTAACATTTCTCAGTGATCCGAACGGACCACTGTTTATTCAACACGTGCTGAAACTGGAGCAGCAAAATAGCCACTGAACACTTATTCAGGAGTCAGTATGTTGCAGTGCATACTGGGGACTGTAGTGCATCTCAGGGTGAAACGGGCTAATAAGTACAGAAAAATAAAATCATTTTGCCGGCCGAATAGGACTGTGTCACAGGCCTGACTCGGCCTGCGCGCTTTGTGTTTGACAGGTGGGGTTTAGAGCATGCATGTCTACTAGTTTAGAAGAAGAGTGGAAAAAACTGATGCTTCATCAACTCAGCACTAAGATTTAATATTCACATAAATAGCCTGTTGTTTTTGTCCAACCAAAACATCTGCAAAAACAGTTCAACCAAAACTTTTCAACAAGCACAACGGTGGCTGAGAAAGTCCAGCTTAATGCAGGTTCAAAAAGAGACGCAAACTCCAAAACACCTGGATCAAACTGACCACACCTGTACTACATTTACCAAACGCAGTGCACACTGAGAAAAGATGTAAATACTTAAAAGAGTTCAGTTAACATGACACCACATACATTACATTACATTACACTGAATCATTCTTTTAAAAGATCTGAAGGAAATAAGAGAGGACGACAACTGTAAACACCCACCAAATATGCAGTCTTTCAAAGCCTGTCTTTGAACAGTCTCTCCTTTCATTTCCCAGCCCAGCTGAAATGACAGGTCTGCTTATAAGATAAGATAATCCTTTATTAGTCCCACAACAGGGAAAGTCTCAGTGCTACAGCAGCAAAGGGAGAGCAAGGCACTCAAGAAAAGAGTAACAAGAAGAGAATGAACAAGCAAGTAATTAACCTTGGTTAACTAACAGTTGGTCAAGGCTGACCGCAAAATACGTCGCATCATTTCCGGTGCAAACCTGGACACATACAAAAATAAACATTAGATTAAATAAGGTTTCTACAATGTTTGCAATAAACATGTACATACAGCTCGAAACACTGCTCAGCCAATGAGATTTCAGAATTGGTATAAAAATTTGCCTATAATATTACAGATATACGATACCTCTGATTGGCTAAGGGATGAGCTGGTGATGGAACTGAACAAACACACACTGGGAGGTGAAATCTGGACCCAAACTTTGACATGAGACGTTCTGCTTTCTTTTTCCTGTTTTTATGTTCACCTGTATGTGTTCTAATTAATTAAATAATGTGCTTGGGTGCCTAAAATCTACTGAATGAATGGCTCAGTCTCCAACCACTCCATATTCTCTATCTAGTGAACTAATAAAAACAGCCTGTATGCCCAAATATTTCATTATATTAAAGCAGAAGGAAGACGACTACATCCAGCCACGGATAACAAGGCTCTCTGCTTAACAATTAAAGTTCCATTAACGTGTAGTTTTTTAATGACTTATGTTTCTTAGTGCACTTATGCAGGGTGTAGAAATTGATTCAGGACTCGGTCCAAAATATCTCGTCCTACCACAGAGCTCTTGGCTTCTTCAAGGTTTTTGCAGATAAAAAGCATCTGAAACAACAAACTCAGCCAAAATCTGCAACATGTCTGACTCTGACACTACAGTACACTATGCATCACATTTCATAGTACAGGGTGATTCAAAAAGATTAATCCCATTTCAAAGCACCGTATTTCTACAACTGTGAGTCACCTAGGAACCAATCACAATCCAACTGAAAGAGGCAGTCATAGAGTTTCTGACTGGCTCCCTTCAGTCTGCGAGGTGAAGCGACCCCTGAGCAGAAAGCGTTCTGCGTTCACCATTTCAATAAGAGTGAATCAGTCATAACTGTGCAGCGCGATTTATGTGGGCAGTGAAGCTCCAACAGCTCGGAGTGTTTGTCGTTGGTTCCACAACACCGGATGATCTCCGAAATCGCACTGAAAGAGCCGTGAGTGCAGCGACACCCGACATGCTCAATCGAGTATGGGATGAATCTGAATATGGCGTTGATGTTGTCCGTACAGCTGGAGGAGGTTCATACTGAGCACATATACAATTACATAATAAACTTTATGCTCACTTAAACAATTTACACTCTACTGCATTATTCTGTAATGATTTACAAGTGAAATAAATCATTTTGAAATCAGATGAATCTTTCTGAATCACCCTGTATTTACCTATTCCTGTTAATAGAGGAGAGCACTTTTCACAGTGCACCTTCATGTACAAGCATCAATCACTATTTCACAGTTTTCTACTGCACTTAAGATTATTTGAGCTCAAATTGTGTTGTTTCAGATGCTTTTCATCTGCCAAAACTTTAAAGAAGCCAAGAGCTTTTGGGCACGAGATATTCTGGACCGAGTCCCAAATCACTATCTAAACCTATAAGTACACTAAGAAACATGAAAAAATGTCCTCTAGACCTTAATCGAACTTTAACTGTTAAGCAGAGAGCCTTGTTATCCGTGGCTGGATGTAGTCGTCTTCCTTCTGCTTTAATATAATGAAATATTTGGGCATACAGGCTGTTTTTATTAGTTCACTAGATAGAGAATATGGAGCGGTTGGAGACTGAGCCATTCATTCAGTAGAGACGTCTCCTGCTCGCGTATTTGTTAATTTGTCACTGATTTCTTTAAGTCTCTCCAGCTGTAAACTGTTTAACAGACCCAGAGACGATTAGCAACGATTAAAAAGGTAAAACATTGGGTGATGAGCTGAAGTGATGAGAATGTGGGAGTGTCTGAGGCAGAACAGGAATTTGTTTATCCAGCGCTTCTGTATTTCCAGTATTTTGTGAAAAGGGTCTATTCCTGTTCATGCAGAACTGAACTGTGTAGCTTTCTTTTTCTATCCTACTTACATCCCTTATTATCCTCCGTCTCACTGACCGGTAAGAAGTCATGCTGTTTGCAACATCATTCAATGCACCGCACTTCAAGAACAAGACTACTTACCTCTACTACTGCTACTACTACTTACCTCTGTTAAGACAACAAACCTGTGAAATTGTGTTGTTCATCTCCTTTTTCACCATCTGGGGTTCAAACAAATAAAAAAATAAATACAATTAGTCTCAGTCAAATCTACATAATCCAAATATATACTTGTATCACAGCACTGTACAATAGTACAATCTGTTTTAATAAAAGTGTTTGTTACCTCTAAAATAAATATTTAGCACACTTTGTAGAAAATACACAGAAATACTGTATATCATGTATGGCCACTTAGCGTAACAATATTAAGATATGATTTTTGGTCCCTATCGAACAGCCCTACTTTCAATCTGTTCATTTTATGAAAATAAAATGTATTGATTTAATTTACAGTAGATGTGCTACATTGTGATAATGCTATCAGGATATATGAAATGTTGGTCATATCGCACAACACTAATTTAATTGCTTAATTATTGCTTGTAGCACGTTTACTGTGTCTGGTGTGAAATGGGCTTAACATGAGCCGTACATGTGATACGCAACCATCCATGGGGGTCCTGGATCAACTACGATCCGTTACACAACACCTATTATTCAGTACGATTCATTCAAAATTTGCTGCACACTTTTTTAAATGGAACACGCAACTGTTCAATGTTTAATGTCCACCACATGCTCAGAAAAAGACACTGCTTATTCCAGTAACTTATCATGACAGCAGTGGTCAAACTGCCCACCTCTAATGAAATGTTCACACAACAGTGACTGAATTATTCTGACGTTGAATAATTGGTAAAATTCCCAGTTAACAGTTCCAAGTGTGAAGAACTTAAATTAATCAGAGTTTATACCTGATTCTAGGATTTGTTAATCTAGGTTTTAAATTAAGTTCTATTGCACCACATATTTTTGATTTACTTTAATTTTCACTGTCTATCATGATGGATTTGCTACTATAATCATCACCAAACACCTTTTGTTACTCTCTAGAAAAAGCTCCACACTGAGAACTAGCACAAAGCTCCCGTTACATTAAAACACAGCTCTCACAGGCAAAGAAGGAATTTAACGTTAACGTTAAACAGCTGTTTTTGGGTGGCAAAATCTTCCCAGTGGTTCAACCCACCGATTATGCGATTAAAGACGAATTAAGGCAACTGATGGCACAAAAGACATTTTTCTTTAAAATGATTGGCCCAAATACAGCCAATAAAAATGCATTTGGTTGCTAGGCAGATTTCACAGTCTAAATAATATAATGTGATGGTTATTTCAGAGTATCTAACCAGTAAAACTATCATATGTAGAAAAATATGTAAACAACATTCAAACTTACCTGCAACTCTGAAGCAGAGTTTAACTACTAGCTAAATTCACATTTCAAATATTGCATCTAACAGCATTAATGCACCTTCGCACCATTTCCTCAAAGGGTTCATGATCAAATTGAGACTATAAAAGTTCTAATTTTTTCACTTTGCTGACTTAGATGAAGTAACTTTATTCTCAAGTAACACATTTAGAAATTGCTCAACTTCGCTCTTCTTTACTATTTCTTTTCCTCACAAAGTTAGCTAGCTAGCTATATATATAGTTATTTATATGTTGTACATTTCTAAACATATATATATATATAAACAGAATATGTGTAAAAATACACAACATATAAATAACTATATTTCACTACTTTTAGTGATAAGTTTAATAGGTGTTCCTTCTCTATACCCTTCAAAAAGATGGTTCTATACAGGTTCTTTAGGAGGACAGGAGAGTGGATACCCACACCCTGATTAAAACCAAAAGCAGTTAAAGATTTCTGTAGAATTCTCTCTATAGATATGTATGTTTTATTGTAGGTCTAATTGTTACCTCTACTCTGTACCTATTGTTTTGAGCTTATATCCACATATCCAGTCACCCTACAGTGTTTGGTTTTACAATAATTTACATACATAAACTACAATCTATGTACAGTTTACATTGTAGTCTGGACATCCCTGATAAAACTCTGTGTGCTGTTGATTTTCCCTACAGACACATTTGTACTTCTGCACCTTCTAAAGCATGATTACCGTTTATTTCCTTAATTTAACACATTGCAAAAAAGTGACGTGCAAAATGGCACTAAATACATTATGTGTGTGTGTGTCTAAGTGTGGAGACATACATCATATTTAAGTGTATACCTGTGAAGGGTTTGTTCTCATATTCATGCTTGGAGCTTCAACAATGGCTATGTTTACATGCAAAGATTTTTGCCAATCCGACTGAACACAATCGGATTACAGACTCAGACTGAGGTGTTTATATGCACACTCTATACAACAATTTGATGGAAAATCTTCGTTTACATGCTCACTACAAGTAATCCGATGCAAAATGACGCGCATGCGTGGAGTAGCGCTTAGAGTGAACGTTGCCATGACAGCGAACATCACGTGAGGTCCAGTCTGAGTGAGATGAGTTTCCAGTTGGCGCGCTTGTGATTTTAACTGCTTTAAAATGATGTCAGACTCAGGAAAACATGCTTTACATGTCCTTATTGAAGAAGTTCTGAGGCACATAAGCTGGACGTCTGTCCCACCGCCGTCTTTTAAAGTTTAGAGCAGAACGTATTTACACGTTCCGATTGGAATGTAATCGGATACAGGCGTTTACATGGTTATTATTCTTCTATTTAACGGATTATTTAGAAGTTTACCCACCTCGTTCAATCGGATAGAAACTGTATTCCGAATGGCCTCAACTGGACTAGACTATTCCGATTGAGGTGGTTACATGGACGTATTCTATTCCGATTGAGCTATTAGTCAGATTATTAATGGATTATTAGGCTGCATGTAAACGTGGCTATTGTGTGATTTGACAAAGTCCAAAGTCCAAACTTCTACATAAGACTGTGCACTGTGCCATTTTCCAGTCACTGGCCAAGATGAGTTTTGCTGCCATGGTGAAACAAATCCTAATATATGGATTATGTGTTAATTTCCATCCTGAAAACCATGTTAGTAATATTTTATCCCTAAAACTGAAATGAAATGTTTGCCTTTGAACATTAAAGACTTTTCTACAAGTCTGTAAATGTGTGAAGGTGTATTATCAGTCTGTCTTAGCTCATATTTACTATGGCCATGTTGATCCACAAACTATAATTCATTATTGATTCAATGTCTGTTTTTCAACCTAAACATTAGGTTCATTTCTTCAATCAACATTCAACATTGATTTCATGTTTTTTTCATCTTCAACCAAAAGCAACAAAACTGTAGTGTGTTAGTAAAGAGAAAACCTTAGAAAGCCTAGCTGAGGACAAAAACAGCTGAAGAATAAAGCACCATGACTTGTGCGAAAGCTGTGTATCTTTTAATAGCAAAGTGCACTACAGTATGTATGATATAGTAGTAGTACGCGGTTGTGGATGCAGCCTTGGCTTTAAATTAAGTGCAGTCGACAACAGAAAACACAGAGTCGTGCATCGCTATACAAACCCTGATCCTCAAGAAATCAATGTCTTGTAAAATCAAAGTTTCTGGCCAGCAAAACTTGGATTTTTACAGCCTCGTAAATGAAGTCATAATAATAAAAAGTCACTGTTTTATTTACGATTTTGTTTAACTGAGGTAAGAGTTACAGTCGGGGCGCTCAGTCCTGCTCCTGGAGATCCATCACTCTGAAAAGCTCACATCCAACTTACCTGGCTCTAATATTCAGATGTGCCTGGAGGCCTTGATTATCTGGATCAGGTGTGTCAGATCAGGGTTGGAGCTGAACTCTGCAGGGTGGCAGATCTCCAGAACTAGAACTGGACATCTCTGAGATACACTAGTGCAGAGCCCAGTCCTGGCCTCCCAATTGAAAAAAAAATATCATGGAATTTAATTTAATCTCTGTCCAGGGAACCAACTCGTTACCTCATTAAAATGTACATTTGTAATTAAGTTTAGTTCTCCTAGTCTAATATACAGCAAATCAAAGTCTGCAGAAATATCCAGAAATGTCAGGCAGGATGGACTGATGTCAAACTGAATTCTACAAAAGTTGAACATGAGTTTCATTTAAATGATAATTTACAAAGTAATCAGTGAAGTGCTGTTCCTAAACCACTGTCTCTCTTCATGATACCTCAGCTGATCATGTTGTTCACTGTGTTATATATTAGAATTTGTACACATAACAACAAACGTATTCAAATTTCTTTGATTTTTTCTACATAAATTCCTTGATAAGTGCTAAGTGATTGTGGATGAGTGAGTTACTGGCAGTAGAAGGTGAGGACATTCTGCTGGTTTCCTCTAATCAGCAGGACAGGGCAGTGCAGTCCACAGCTCAGTGTGTCCAGTCAAGCCATGTAGAGAGAGCTGGGGAAGCAGCCCTGAGGGACAGGTCATGACCTGACACAGACAGACACACAGTAATGTGCACGGCTTCTGCTCTTTGATCTTCATTAGTTATGGGATTAACTTCATGAGAACAACTGAGCCTGACTGAGGAATTTCAAACAATATTTGAATTTGCATTCTTTGGTTTTGAGCTGAATATTGAACAGAATCCTTATGAAGTTCAGCTGTTAATGAGTATGAACTGGGATCAGGACTCACAGTAAGACCAGAGCAGCGTGTTTGGAATTCCTCCTGATGATCTCCTTCAGCCTCACCTTTCTCTCAGACTGTAAGACAGAAAATCCACAAGGAGAGCAACGTTCAAATGAGGGGAAAGTACTGATAACCACGTTGGTGCTTGCTCTCTCAAATGGAGAGGAACAAACTGAAAAGCAGTTACTGTTATTTTACCGTAGTGACGTGCAGAATACGAGCCAAATGAAAAACAAACCTTCCATCACAACGTTCTCACGTCGCTTGAATTCCTAGCTGTAAAAACAAGACTGAACTCATGTCTGAAATGAATACACTCGGCCGCGAAACGTAAAAAAGACTTCACTGTACTACTTTCCACCGTTAAATCAGTGTAACAGAGCGCTTAGTTTTCATTTTGGCACATTTTCTGTATGTTACTGTTTAAATGTAATTTAATGTGCACTACATTTCACTATTTTTGTTGTTTTTCAATCAAGCAAATATGTTTGAAGTACAAAAAAGAGGACAAGTGATGTGAAAACTGTGTAACAGAGGTTTCGTTTTTCATTTTGGCTCATGTTTCCGGTGGCCGACAAGATGCTATTGATAGTATAACTGAAAACACTTCGCAAACTTGTAAACGCTCTGCAAACAAAAACACTTTCATCAAAATGACGACACCTGAACTACATTTCACAAACGCACTGTAAATACCACAAAACACATTGGAGGTGAGCCACAACACAACGGTGATGTTCACGGTTAACCTGGCTGGCTAGTTTCCTATTGTTGACGAGAGGCCACTGTTCAGTAATATTGTCACCATACAGATGAGGAATTAAATTCACTTTGTTTTGTCAGAAACAGAAACATTTATCCAGCACATTCATGTATTTCGTGTACCTGAACAAGAGCAGCATCTCTCTGTAACTAAAGCCTCGGGTTCACTACACGACTTTTAAAGTCTTAACAGATTATAAAAAGATTGGGCGTCTCACACTGTCAGACTGGTTTTTGCAGATTTTCTTGGGCGACTGAAATATTGGGGATCCACACTTTTAACTTTTATGCTGCTGCTGAACTGAACGGAGCTCACTGATCTTATGAACTCACTCAGAGAACTTACTAAGAGACGCAAACAAACGTGGAGCTGCAGCTGCTGATTTCTCTGCCGTTTGCACTGAAACAGTAAAGAAGCAGCATGTAAACATGTTTAAGTGAGGATTAATGATTTAAAAATGTGATCAGTTGGTATTTTTAGAGTTTTAAATGTACATAAACTTTTGTGCTTTAAACTCAGCTCATTAAAAAGCTTCGCTCCACTCGTGAGAGACTTTTCACCATTTTTATTTGTTTACTTGCTGTATTTTCTTCTTTCGCGCTCTCAGTTTTCAGTGGCTCTTGCAGGAATCTTTTCAGATTGAGTCGTTGATCAGTTTACACTAGATTACACTCAGAGTCAGGTTAAAAAATCAGACATGTTGGTCTGAAATGCAGCAAATCTGAGTCTGAGATATCTTACAGCCTCTTAAATGAAGTCATAATAATAAAAAGTCACTATTTTATTTACAATGTTGTTTAACGGAGGTAAGAATTACAGTCGAGGCGCTCAGTCCTGCTCCTGGAGATCCATCACTCTGAAAAGCTCACATCCACCTCACCTGGCTCTAATATTCAGATGTGCCTGGAGGCCTTGATTACCTGGATCAGGTGCGTCAGATCAGGGTTGGAGCTGAACTCTGCAGGGTGGTAGATCTCCGGAACTTGAACTGGACATCTCTGAGATACACTAGTGCAGAGGTGCCCAGTCCTGGCCTCCCACCCTAAACAGTTCAGACCCAAAACACAGATATTCAGATTCCCCTCCAGGCCTTCATTAACTGGATCAGGTGTGTTTCATTACAGTCTTAAAAACATGGTTCTTCAAGGGTTCGTTAGAAAAGGCAATGGTTCTGTTTAGAACCATGAGTTCTACATAAAACCATACACAACACATTCTCCATCAATCCGAAGAACCATTTTGCCAAGCAGAGAACCATTTAAACAAGCAAAATATTCTATATATATTCCACCTAACAGGAAATCTATCTATCCATCCATCCATCCATCCATCCATCCATCACTGTGAACAATTCTGACTCAGTAAGTTTCTCTAGAACAGAGAACCACTATGAACGACTCTCTTTATATCTTATCAATTTAATTATGCAGAAATAAAAAAAAGTCATGGAATTTAATTTACTCTCTGTCCAGGGAACCAACTCATTTTCTCATCAAAATGTACATTTGTAATTAAGTTTAGTTCTCTGAGTCTAATATACAGCAAATCAAAGTCTGCAAAAATATCCAGAAATGTCAGGCAGGATGGACTGATGTCAAACTGAATTCTACAAAAGTTGAACATGAGTTTCATTTACATGATCATTTACAAAGTAATCAGTGAAGTGCTGTTCCTAAACCACTGTCTCTCTTCATGATACCTCAGCTGATCATGTTGTTCACTGTGTTATATATTAGAATTTGTACACATAACAACAAACGTATTCAAATTTCTTTGATTCTTTTCTACATGAATTCCTTGATAAGTGCTAAGTGATTGTGGATGAGTGAGTTACTGGCAGTAGAAGGTGAGGACATTCTGCTGGTTTCCTCTAATCAGCAGGACGGGGCAGTGCAGTCCACAGCTCAGTGTGTGGAGTCAAGCCATGTAGAGAGAGCTGGGGAAGCAGCCCTGAGGGACAGGTCACGACCTGACACAGACAGACACACAGTAATATGCACAGATTCCACTCTTTGATCTTCATTAGTTACGGGATTAACTTCATGACAACAACTGAGCCTGACTGAGGAATTTCAAACAATATTTGAATTTGCATTCTTTGGTTTTGAGCTGAATACTGAACAGAATGCTTATGAAGTTCAGCTGTTAATGAGTATGAACTGGGATCAGGACTCACAGTAAGACCAGAGCAGCGTGTTTGGTATTCCTCCTGATGATCTCCTTCAGCCTCACCTTTCTCTCAGACTGTAAGACAGAAAATCCACAAGGAGAGCAACGTTCACATGAGGGGAAAGTACTGATAACCATGTTGGTGCTTGCTCTCTCGTATGGAGAGGAACAAACTGAAAAGCAGTTACTGTTATTTTCCGTAGTGATATGCAGAATACGAGCCAAATGAAAAACAAACCCTCTAAAACAAAAGGCTTCACTATATTGCTTTCCTCCGTTAAATCAGTGTAACAGAGCGTTTACTGCATTTCACTGCTTTTTTTACTTTTCAAGAAGTTGAGTGATGTGAAAACTGTCTAACAGAGGTTTCGTTTTTCATTTCGGCTCAAATATACAGTGACCAACAAGAGCCTATTCATAGTAGGGGTGGGAATCCATGGCACCTCACGATTTGATTCGACTACAATTCGGAGGCCTGTGATGCGATTATAAAACCATTATGGATGCATCTTTTTTTCTATACAGGATTTTTTTCTCACTGTGTGATGACTTGGTAATTTTAAAGTATTTGTAATGATCTATAATGAATTTACTCCCAATATCTTTTATTAATAAATCAAATGGAAGTGATGTGGCAAGTTCATTGGAAGGTTCTCATTCACTGCTTTTGTTTAGGGGTGGGGGGGGCGGGGGGGGTCACTGTGTCAGTAAAATATCTGTGAGACGGGACGTGTGCTACATAGCGCGAAAGCCCTGTTTTTTCAACGAACCAGCGTACAGACTGCAGGTCACTTAGCAACACAGTCTCTCCGAGCAAGTAGCGAACGAAAAGGCAGAGAGAGATTTAGCTAAGACGAACATCTGGAGACAAATGGACTTATTCCCGTTTATAAGCGGCGCAGTTGGGTTCCTGGAACGTTAAATCTGAAAGACTGTCAAACACTAAAAGTTGCGAAGATGAAGTCGCTTCTCTTTCGAATTCGACAGTTGGTGGAATTGTTGTTGTTATGTGCCGCCATAGACTGTCCAGGTTCTGCACTTCCCCACTTCCAAGTTCCGCTTTTTACGTTCAGTCACCATTACGGTATGAATTAAATATTTAGCAAATCGATTTTTGAAGTTTATGAATAGATTCAGAATTGTCCACGTCTGCATCGCGATGCATCTAAGAAACGAGTTTTCCCCTACACACAAATATATATAATTCATAGTACGATTGAAAACATTTTGCAAACTTGTAAACGCGCTGCAGACATAAAAACAGAAAATGCTTTTATAAGAACGACTACACAGGAGCTACATTTCACAAACGCACCGTAAATACAGAAAACGGCTCTCTCTGCTTTAAAGCCAGGTTAGGTCAGGAGTCACAACCCAAATGATAAGAAGAGCCATTTTGTCCTTTCAACAAAAATCAAACCACCTTGGGAGCCACAACATGTATGTCCAGTGATAATGTGCTAGTTTAGGCTAAAAAATATAAACGAAAACACAGACTTACTCTGCTCTGCTTTAAGCTTTAGCTATAGCCGCTTTTCTTCAAACTCCGCCAGAAAACTTTTCCTCAAAAGTTGAAGAGTTTCTTGTGAAATGTCTCTCAGCTTTCCGCTGTTTTACGAGGCTGAAGTTGCTTCTCATTCGCCAGCTTCTTGCTGAACTTTCCCGTTCCACCTTAAATTCTGACTGAGACGAAGAATGTAAAAGCGGCACCATTTGCTAGGTGACCTGCAGTCTTTCGCGCATTATGGATCACTACAAATACTTTGTTTTAAAACTACAAAGTCCTCAGACAGTAAGAAAATAGAAATCATGTATAGTTGCATCGAGATGCATCGATAATCGTTTTATAATCGCATCGCAGCCCTCTGAATCGTAATCGAATCGAATCGTGAGGTGCCTAGAGATTCCCACCCCTACAGGAAATGCTTTTATAAGAACGACTACACAGAGCTACATTTCACAAACGCACTGTAAACACAGAAAACGCTTTGATCAGAACGACTACACAGAAGCTACATTTCACAAACGCACTGTAAACACAGAAAACGCTTTGATCAGAACGACTACACAGAAGCTACATTTCACAAACGCACTGTAAACACAGAAAAAGCTTTGATCAGAACGACTACACAGAAGCTACATTTCACAAACGCACTATAAAACACAGAAAAAGCTTTGATCAGAACGACTACACAGAAGCTACATTTCACAAACGCACTGTAAACACAGAAAACGCTTTGATCAGAACGACTACACAGAAGCTACATTTCACAAACGCACTGTAAACACAGAAAAAGCTTTGATCAGAACGACTACACAGAAGCTACATTTCACAAACGCACTGTAAACACAGAAAACGCTTTGATCAGAACGACTACACAGAAGCTACATTTCACAAACGCACTGTAAACACAGAAAAAGCTTTGATCAGAACGACTACACAGAAGCTACATTTCACAAACGCACTGTAAACACAGAAAACGCTTTGATCAGAACGACTACACAGAAGCTACATTTCACAAACGCACTATAAAACACAGAAAAAGCTTTGATCAGAACGACTACACAGAAGCTACATTTCACAAACGCACTGTAAACACAGAAAACGCTTTGATCAGAACGACTACACAGAAGCTACATTTCACAAACGCACTATAAAACACAGAAAACGCTTTGATCAGAACGACTACACAGAAGCTACATTTCACAAACGCACTATAAAACACAGAAAAAGCTTTGATCAGAACGACTACACAGAAGCTACATTTCACAAACGCACTATAAAAACACAGAAAACGCTTTGATCAGAACGACTACACAGAAGCTACATTTCACAAACGCACTGTAAACACAGAAAAAGCTTTGATCAGAACGACTACACAGAAGCTACATTTCACAAACGCACTGTAAACACAGAAAACGCTTTGATCAGAACGACTACACAGAAGCTACATTTCACAAACGCACTGTAAACACAGAAAACGCTTTGATCAGAACGACTACACAGAAGCTACATTTCACAAACGCACTGTAAACACAGAAAAAGCTTTGATCAGAACGACTACACAGAAGCTACATTTCACAAACGCACTGTAAACACAGAAAACGCTTTGATCAGAACGACTACACAGAAGCTACATTTCACAAACGCACTGTAAACACAGAAAAAGCTTTGATCAGAACGACTACACAGAAGCTACATTTCACAAACGCACTATAAAACACAGAAAAAGCTTTGATCAGAACGACTACACAGAAGCTACATTTCACAAACGCACTGTAAACACAGAAAAAGCTTTGATCAGAACGACTACACAGAGCTACATTTCACAAATACCACAAAACACAATGGAGGTGAGCCACAACACAACAATGATGTTGACGGTTAACCTGGCTGGCTAGTTTCCTATTGTTGACGAGAGGCCACTGTTCAGTAATATTGTCACCATACAGATGAGGAATTAAATTCACTTTGTTTTGTCAGAAACAGAAACATTTATCCAGCACATTCATGTATTTCGTGTACCTGAACAAGAGCAGCATCTCTCTGTAACTAAAGCCTCGGGTTCACTACACGACTTTTAAAGTCTTAACAGATTATAAAAAGATTGGGCGTCTCACACTGTCAGAATGGTTTTTGCAGATTTTCTTGGGCGACTGAAATACTGGGGATCCACACTTTTAACTTTTATGCTGCCGCTGAACTGAACGGAGCTCACTGATCTTATGAACTCACTCAGAGAACTTACCAAGAGACGCAAATAACGTGGAGCTGCAGCTGCTGATTTCTCTGCTGTTTGCACTGAAACAGTAAAGAAGCAGCACGTAAACATGTTTAAGTGAGGATCAGTTCATATTTTTAGTTTTAAATGTACATAAATTTTGTGCTTTAAACTCAGCTCATTAAAAAGCTTCGCTCCACTCGTGAGAGACTTTTCTCCATTTTTATTTGTTTACTTGCTGTATTTTCTTCTTTCGTGCTCTCAGTTTTCAGTGGCTCTTGCAGGTTAAAAAATCAGACATGTTGGTCTGAAATGCAGCAAATCTGAGTCTGAGATATCTTACAGCCTCGTGAATGAAGTCATAATAAGAAAAAGTCACTGCTTTATTTGCGATGTTGTTTAACGGAGGTAAGAATTACAGTCGAGGCGCTCAGTCCTGCTCCTGGAGATCCATCACTCTGAAAAGCTCACATCCAACTCACCTGGCTCTAATATTCAGATGTGTCTGGAGGCCTTGATTACCTGGATCAGGTGTGTCAGATCAGGGTTGGAGCTGAACTCTGCAGGGTGGTAGATCTCCGGAACTTGAACTGGACATCTCTGAGATACACTAGTGCAGAGGTGCCCAGTCCTGGCCTCCCACCCTAAACAGTTCAGATCCAAAACACAGATATTCAGATTCCCCTCCAGGCCTTCATTTACTGGATCAGGTGTGTTTCATTACAGTCTTAAAAACATGGTTCTTTAAGGGTTCTTTAGAAAAGGCAATGGCTCTGTTTAGAACCATGAGTTCTATATAGAACCATTTCATGCTTAAATGACCAAAATGTGACCATACCAAACTTAGAACAATAGAAGAAAGATTTGGTGCTATACAGAACCCTTTCCAAAAGGTTCTATATAGAACGTATGGTTACACAACACATAGACAACACATTCTCCATCAATCCCAAGAACCATTTTGCCAAGCAGAGAACCATTTAAACAAGCAAAATATTCTATATACAATCAAAAAAAAAAAAAACGGTTCTTCAAGGGTTCCTTGGTAAAGACAGTGGATTTATAAAAAACCATTAACCCTTAAAGAACTATCTGCATGCTTAATGGTTCTTCAGACTGATGGAGAATGTATCACGTAATTTTCCACAATAAGAATAAATTATCGTCATATTGTCCACCCCTAGGTCAGCTGGTAGCTAACAAGCTCCTCCCATAATATTCAGAGACAGGCTTTTTACATCTCACCATCGAGCTGCTCTGGCTGAGCACAAAAGGGTGGAGAAAAAAGTATATGTTAACGAAAAAACACCTCAGTTTATTTAAAATGAAGCCAAACTCATTCATTTATCTTCTGCACTGTATTTACAGACGTATAGTAAACATACCACAAAAATCATTCGTTCATTTTACAGTCATTCACTGAACGCTTGAATTTATGTCAGAGATGTCAGACTGCAGTCCTGCCTGGCACTGAAGAGCTTAGCACCTCATTTAACTCACCTGATTCAACTCAGCACCTAATCAGCAAGAGCTCCAAATTCAGAGAGTGAGGAGAGGGGAACCAGCACGGCTGTAATCATATATTCTTGTTTCTGAATCTTCTATAGGAATAGCTCAGACATGACGTTACTAACGGAATGAAAAACGGTTCCTGTTTCCCCTCATCAGTAATGATATTATTATTCTGTATGACTGCCAGAACTTATTAACTTGTTTTCTTTTATTTGCTCTTTATTGAAATGTGAAATACTATAAGATAATGGGAAAATAATCAGTGTGTTTACATACACTTGATAATCTGA